GAGAGAGACGGAGAGCCAGAAAGCCAGAAATCCCCCCCCCCCCAGGGGATAACCACTCTGCAATCCCTTCTCCTCCATTCCCCTCTTGGGCACGCACGCACATGTGCCCAGCATGAGTTTAAGCCACTGGGTCCGGGACTCGAACCACGGTTGACTACATGGGAGTCCAGCGACATAGCCATTATGCTAACTGCTGGCCCCTGAGGCAGGGGGTCTTTAGAGATGATCTCCCAGAGAAGGTGATATGTGAGTTGAGTCTCAAAGGGGACTTAGAAAAATGATATATAATGGTCCCTGGTTTTTAGTATAGGAATGCCAAAAACAGGACAGAATTTCAAAATCTGCCTGGCTTCCAAAGTTCGATCAGAATAACTTTACAACTAAATTTCCCCATCTGTATCCTATAGGTTTTTATTTAAAATATTAGGAAGAACTATGTAGGAGATGAACTGAAAATTTATCTCTCCAGGCTTCCAACAGATAATAAATGTGAATTACCTTTTCCTATTCTTTCTTCTCTCTTCTGTTCTCTCATGTTAGTCTTAACCTCATTGTTTCTCCTTTGAAATATTGGTCTCTGACAAAAAATTATTCCCCATTATTGGGGAGAAAACTAAATGGAACAGATTTACTGTCTAAATCTCCTTTTGTCCTTGACTTGGTTTCTATTGATGGATTTGGAAGGATAGAGTCAATTTTTTCTTCAGTTTCTATTTAGGTATTTTGATGAATAGACTGGAACAGCAATTCCTACATAGATAGTCACATTCTTGTATTTACACTTTTAGTTTCAACAAGCTGCAGAATTATTATAAAATATAAGAGGGCTTTTTAAAAAAAGAATGTTTTAATTATTTTATTTATTCATTCATTCATTTTAATTGGACAAGAGAGAGACATAGACAGAGAGGGAGAAAGTGAGAACACAAGCCACCAGGTCCAGGACTTGAACCATGGTCAGCCATGTGGGAGTGCCCAGTGCCTTAACCACCATGTCACCTGCTGGCCCCAAAATACAAGAAGACTTCCCAAAGTTTATGGGAAAGTGGAATTAAAGTATGAATTAATTTTGTTGCTAAATTTTTTTGAAATCTAAGCATAGCTTTTTCTTAATACGCATTTTCCATGAACTTTTTTTAAAATTATAAAACATTATTTTAACTTTATTTATTTGTTTCAGTTTGATCAGAGAGGGACAGAGAGAGAGCGAGAGAGAGAGAGAGCGAGAAAGCCACCAGATTCAGGATTTGAACTGCAGTCTGCTATGTGGAGACCAGTGCCCTTAACCACCACACCACTTGCCAGCCCCTCCATGAACTTTTTAAAGACTCCTCAAATCATGGAAAGTTATGTGCTTTTCACTTTCCAGAGCAGTATTATGAATGATTTGGTACAGGGACCTTGGAAAAATGGAATTTAAAAATAAAAAATACGGCCAGCCCTGTGGTGTAATGGTTAAGGGAGCCATATCCCACATGGCCTTCTGCGCAGTTTAAATCCTGACCCCGGTGGCTTCAGAAGCATTCCAAGTGCATGTGCATGCATGCCCCAAATCCTTACAGAATGGAGAAGTGCTTGTGACATGACCATACTCCATTGGCGTTTTGTCCTTCTCCCTCTCTATTTCTCTCTGCTGAGTACATGTACCCTATAGCAAATTTTAAAAATAAATCATACAAACTTGTGCCAGGTGATGATGCAGTAGTAATTCAGCAATTCAAATAAGAAAGTTCCTGGGTTTGCATCCATGACTTTGAGCAGGTTGGGAAGATGGTGTATGCACTTGAACCAGGCTGGCTGAGATTGGGGGGTGGGTCATGGCATGAAGGTCTTATTGGTACCTGTCTCTGTCTCATGGAAGAAATGAATGAATGAATGTGTATATATATACACACACACACTTAAGTATATATATATGTTACAATTTTTAATTTTATTACTATTTTAAGTTTGCCGTGGGGCATGTATGTGTACTCAGCAGAGAGGGGTGGGGGCAGGGATGGGGAAAGTGAAAAAGAAAGCACCAGATCCAAGACTCAAACTGTTGTCAGCCATGTGGGAGTCCAGCACCTTAACTGCCATACCACCTACTGGTCTGAGATGGAATTTTTAAAAAATCTGCTATAGGGGTCATGTACTTGCTAGGGAGACAGAAAGAGAGAGTGAGTGAGAGGAAGAGAGGGACAGAGAGACATAGGAGGAGAGAGAGAGGGAGAGAGAGAGAGAACCCCCCAATGGAGGAGGATGACCACACCACAATCCTTTCTCCATTCTCTTGGGATTTTGAACATGTGCTCACATACCTGGTGTGTTTTTCAAGCTGCTGGGTCTGGGCCTCGAACTACAGTTGGCTATGTAGAATCCAGCTGCCTTAACCACCATGTCACCTGGCTGGCCCAGAGGTGGAACTTTTAAAAATCATAATATATCCAAATAAATGCTGCCTTCATCAAAGAAGGCACCTTGGGATGTCATGCCATTATTCCAGGGGGAGTTACTGCTTAGACTCTTCACACAAATCAGTGTTCCTCACTTGATTCTTTAATCTCTTACTCAATAGATCCAACTCCGTCCTCAGAAAATTTTTCATCATGGAGATAATGTTTTGAAATATTAAGAAAGATATATAGATAACAAAGAAGACACTACGCTAAACAACAAAATTATTTAAAGAAATTTATTCCTACATAAGATGACACTTTTTTTTTTTTTTGAGAGGTTTTTGCTATAGGGCGCGTGCGTTCGCCAGACAGACAGACAGAGACAGAGAGACAGAAAGCAAGAAATCGCCCCCCAGGGGGGATGGCCACGCTGCAGTCCCTTCTCCTCCATTCTCCTCTCGGGATCTTGGACACGCACGCACACGCGCCCAGCGTGAGTTTTAAGCCACCGGGTCGGGAAGTGAACCGCCGTTGACTACGTGGAAGTCCAGCGACAAAGCCATTACGCTAACTGCTGGTTCTCAATAAGATGACACTTTTGAGAAATACGTTCATTTGAATGATTCACATCCTGGTATATTGGAAGTGGCCTAATTAAGTTACTTTCCTATAGTCACCCATCACAGTAAGGCAGAAAAGTGGATAGAGCTTCTTAAAAACATGTTCAGCAATGTTAAGGGAAAAAATAACTGGAAGTGCTCTTGTTCAGTCATCCACAAACCAGGACCTTTGACACCAAGTGTCCATTTTTCCTATCTGTACTTCCTGCACAGCGTGTTCTACAGGAATCACAATGCAGTTCAGGGCTTTTCTCTTTTTTTTTTTTCGAGAGGTTTTTGTTATAGGGCGCGTACGCTTGCCAGAAAGAGAGAGATAGACAGAAAGTGAGACCCCCCAGGGTGGGGTGGTCATGCTGCAATCCCTTCTCCTCCATTCTCCTCTCAGGATCTGGGGCACGCACGCACACGTGCCCTGCGTGAGTTTAAGCCGCCAGGTCCAGGACTCAAACTGTGGTCGACTACATGGGAGTCCAGCGATATAGCCATTACGCCAACTGCTGGTCCCTTAGGGCTTTTCTAATACTCTCATTTTTGTTTGTTTTCTTTTAGGTATTTCTGGGAAAAGCCAGCTTCTATTTGCACTGGTCTTCACAACTCGATACTTGGATCTTTTTACTTCATTTATTTCATTATACAACACGTCTATGAAGGTATGGTATGTCATCTGATAGAATGTATTGTATCCATAATGCACAGACCCATAGAAACTGTTATTTTATGTCAATTTCTTTCTTTTTGTTTTTCTTTTTTTGGAGAGGTTTTTGCTATAGGGCACGTGTTCTCCTCAGAAAGACAGAGAGACAGAAAGTGAGAAATCACCCCCTAGGGGGCATGGCCACGCCGCAATCCCTTCTCCTCCGTTATCCTCTCGGGCTCTTGGACACGCATGCACACACACCTGGTGTGAGTTTAAGCCACTGGATCCGGCACTCAAACCGCAGTCAACTACATGGGAGTCCAGTGCCATAGCCATTACACCAACTACTAGTTCCTCTTTTTTTTTTTCCAAGAGAAATTTTTTGCTATAGGGCATGTGTGTTTGCCAGAGAGACAGAAAGCAAGAAATCACCCACCAGGGGGATGGCCATGCTGCATTCTTTTCCTCCATTCTCTTGGAATTCTAGGCACACATGTACACTCAGTTAGCGTGAGTTTTAAGCTGCCGGGTCTGGGGCTCGAACCACAGTTGACTATATGGAAGTCCAGTGATGTAACCATTACACCTTCTGCTGGCCCTGAGAGATTTGTTGTTACAGGGCGTGTGCACTCACTGGAGAGATACAGAGTGAAAAATCACTCCCCAGGCAGAATGGCCACATTACAATTCCTTCTTGTTTCCTCTTGGGATGTTGGGCATGAATGCATGTGCCTAGTATTGAGTTGCAAGCCATCAGATCCAGCACTTGAACTGCAGTCAGCCATGTGGGAGTCCAACACCTTAACCACTATGCCACCCTCTAGCCCCAGTGTCAACTTATTTTTAATTGAAAATCTCTAATAAGCCAGAGCTATGGCATATGCCTCTAGTAATTCTAACTACTCAGAAGACTGAGAGGCAAGTGGATTGCAAATTCGAGGCTAGCTGGGCAATATAGTGAGATGCTATCTCTTTAAACAATCTCTAAGGGGGCTAGGAGGTAGCATACTTGTTATGGCACTAGATTCTTATATGGCCAAATAAAGTTCGAGTCCCAAACCTGGTGGCTTGAAAAATCACACTAGGTGCATGTGCATGCAGGCCCAAAAACCCAGGAGAAGAAGAGATTGTGGTGTGGCCATTTCTCACTTTTCCCTCTCACTGTCTCTGATGAGCACATACATCCTAAGGCAAAAACCTTCTGAAAGTAATAAGTAAATTTCTAAGACTAATGGCTAAATATACTATTATAGGGTGCAGAGCTTACAGGAGGGAAACAGACGGCCACAGCACATTCTCTTCTACATTTTCATCTGGGGATTTGGAGAATGCACCCACATGCCCAGTGTGTTATTCAGGTCACTAGATTCAGGACTCAGCCATGTAAGATCAGTGCCTTAACCACCATACCACTTGTTAGCCCAAAATACACTGTTCTTAACTTAAAGTTTAGACCACCTTGTATATATAATTGGGAATAAAGTTATCATTAAGCATTTCTTTTGTTTCAAAATAGTATTTATTTGGGACCAGCAGGTGGCATGATGGTTAAGGCACTGGACTCCCACAGGGCTGACCATGGTTCAAGTCCCAGACTTGGTGGCTTCCTTTTTCCCTCTTTTTCTCTATCTCTGGTCAAATTGAAGAATAATAAATAAAATTAAATGAATAATTATTTTTTAAAAATAGTATCTATTTAGTTAAACTACTTTGAATTTTTTTAAAAGAGATTCTTTTGCTATAGGGCACTTGTGCTCGCTGGAGAGACAGAGAGACAGAAAGTGAGAAATCACCCCCTGGTGGGGTGGTCACACTACAACCCCTTCTCCATTCTTCTCTCTGGATCTTGGTCATGCACACACATGCTCCTAGCATGAGTTTAAAGCCTCTGGGTCTGAGATTTGAACCATAATTGGCCATTGGGAGTCCAGTGACATAACCATTACTCCATCTGCTGGTCCCAAATTTATATTTTTTAATTTTAAGTTTCTCAAGTGGGAAGAATCTTCTAAAGCTCCTGATAACCCTATAAAGAGATAACTATTATGTTTTCAAGTAGTAGGAAATAAATTAGGGATTGCTCAGAGAAATCCAGGAAGTTGGTATATAACAAGGAATCAAAGTGAGGGTCTCTAGTTGCCATGTCTCATTTTGCTGCTATAAGGGACTATGTGTAAGCTTCTACTTTTTTTTTCTCCCTGAGTCAGTTTTTTGTAAACTTCTGCTGTGTGTGTGTGTACCATCTTTATTATTTTTCTTATTCTTAAATAACACCTGTACCTCTCTGTCTGTCTGGCGAGCACACGTGCCCTATAGCAAAAAAAAAAAAAAAAATCACTGTTCAAGAAATTACAATTTATGTTCGTTCCAAGTTGTAAATGTTAATCTTTTTTCCTTTTCAATAAAAAGACCATTAACTTAAAAAAATAATAATTATTTCATTTAACTTTATGTATTTATTTATTTATTTATAAGTCTGGGCCTCGAACCACAGTCTGCCTTGTGAGAGTCTAGTGCCCTTAACTACCATGCCACCTGCTGGTCCCAATGGACATGGTCTTGCCTGATACACTGAGTTGCTGTGAGGCCCGCCCCAAAAAATGCTCAGTGTGGATATAGATATATGTGTGTTTTGTTTATACAGGTAGGTATTCTTTTAAGAATTATTTACTTAATTTTATTTATTTATTCATTTATTTTAATTTGACCAGAGAGAGAGAAAGCAAGCCACCAGGTCCAGGACTTAAATTATGGAGTGTCCAGCACCTTAACCACCATGCCACCTGCTGGTCCCTATACAGGTAGATTATTATTTTATTCACATACTTGTGTACATTGTGTGTGGAGAGAACTCCTCTAACAGTATGTTAATGTTCCTTGCCTTTTTAATGTAACTTCATGATGAGGTAGGTGCCAGGGATAGATTTTTTCTTTTTTTTTTTTTGAGAGGCTTTTGCTATAGGACGCGTGCACTCGCCAGAAAGACAGAGACAGACAGAGAGACAGAAAGCAAGAAATCACTCCCCAGAGGGATGGCCACTCCACAATCCCTTCTCCTCCATTCTCCTCTCGGGATCTTGGGTACATATGCACATGCGCCTGGTGTGGGTTCAAGCCACCAGGTCCGGGACTCGAACCTCAGTCGGCTGCATAGGAGTCCAGTGACATAGCCATTATGCCAACTGCTGGTCCTGAGATTTTTTTTTTACCCCGAGTATATGAAGACTCGATTGTTCTTATTTTCCTGTTGAATCATTTGCACAAATGTCTTACCCCTTCTCAAGTTGTCTTTCTTAAGGAGAAATAGAACTAAGCGTGCTGCCATTGACATAATAGTCTTTATTTGTTGACTGAAACTGCTATTTGATTTTTGAGCCTGAATCTGAATATTTCAGATATCAGACATTTTATCAGAACCAGAGAAATATGTTTGACCTTTACATAACTTAATTGTAAGCCTTGAACAGCTGTGCTGCTATGTGAACAAAATTGCTCTCTTGAAAGCAGCAACATTTTGCAAATTATCACTAACGTCAGGTTTTGCTTTTGCTAATATTACCAGTTAAATTACATAGCAACAATCTGAATATTCAGTGTTTAAAATTAAGTAAAAACCATCATAACAGGGCCTGCCGGTGGCATGGTGGTTAAGGTGGCCTGATCCCACGTGGCCAATTGAGCAGTTTAAGTCCTGGACCCAGCAACTTGAAAAACATAATCGGTGCATGTGTATGCATGCCCAAAATCCTAGCAGGAGGGAGAAATAGAGGAGAAGGAACTGTAGCGTGACCATATATGAGGTGTGACTTCTTGCTTTCCCTTTCTTTCTGTCTCTGTCTCCAGGAAGTGCATGCACCCTGTGACAAGAAGTTAAAATTTTTAAAGGGGACCAGCAGGTGACGTGGTGGTTAAGGTGCTGGACCATGGTTCAAGTCTGGACCTAGTGGCTTACTTTCTTATTCCCCCCACCCCGTGTGTCTTTCTCTGGTCAAATTAAGATAAATAAATGAAAAAATAAATAATTCTAGAAAAAAAAATTTTAAAAGAGGGGCCAGGGGCCAGCAGGTGGCATGTTGGTTAAGGGTGCTGGACTCCCTGACTGCAGTTTGAGTCCCAGACCTGGCAGCTTGCTTTCTCTCTAATTCTGTCCTTCTCTTGTCAAACTGAAATAAATAAATATATGAATAAATAAAGTTAAACAAAATAATTCTTCAAAAGAAAAGAGGGGCCAGTAGGTAGCATGGCGGTTAGGGTGCTGGATTCCCACATGGCCAGCCTTGGTTCAAGTTCCAGAACTGGTGGCTTGGTTTCTTGCTTTCTCTCTCTGGTCAAGTTAAAAAATAATAATAATAGAGCCAGCAGGTGGCGTGGTGGTTAAGCCGCTGGAATTCCCACATGGCCACAGTTCAAGTCCCGGACCTGGTGGCTTGCTTTCTCACTTTCCCTCTCTCATAATTCTTTAAAAAAATAATAAATAAATATTGAAAAGAAAGAAAACCATCATTACAAAGTTTAACATTAATTACATTGTTTATCTTATCTTTAGAAAAAGTGCTAGCTAAGAAATAACCAACATGCTAAAAAGAAGTCTTTGGGTTTTAAAATGTGCGGAATTTTGCGTCCTTTTTTTCTTTTTTATTATAATTATTTCTTAGAGGTTTTTGCTATAGGGCGCGTGCTATAAAGACAGAGAGAGACAGAGAGATAGAAAGCGAGAAATCACCCCGCGGGGGGATGGCCATACCGCACTCCTTTCATTCTCCTCTGGGGATCTTGGGCATGCACACACACACGCCTGGTGTGAGTTTAAACCACCAGATCTGGGATTCGAACTGTGGTCGACTACATGGGAGTTCAGTGACATAGCCATTACACTAACTACTGGTCCTGCACCCTTTTTTTCTTAAGTTGCTAATAGTTTACAATGAGATTAAAGGGGCCGTAGGTGGCATGGTGATTAAAGGGCTGTTTTTCCATATGGCCAACCACAGTACATGTCTGGGATATAGAGGCTTGCTTTCTTGCTTTCTCACTTTCTCTTTTTCTCTCTCTGTCTATGATCAAATTTTAAAAATAATAATAAATAAAATTAAATAAATGATTCTTTGAAAAATAAAGTGAGAGTAAAACTACATTTCTTGGGCCAGCAGGTGGCATAGCAGTTACATCTCTGAACTCCCACATGGCCGACCACAGTTTGAGTTTTGGACCTGGTGGCTTGAAAATCATGCCAACTGCTTATGCATCTGCGCCTAAGATCCTGGGAGGAGAGTGGAGGAGAAGGGGTCGCATGCCCATCCTCCCAGAGGGTGGATGGGCATGAGACCATCCCCAACTATCACACGCACCCTAAGGCAAAAACCTCTAAGGAATATAAAATTTCTTTGACAATTTCTTTTTTTTTTGTTGTTTATAGACCACATATTAGTTTATTTATTTATTTATTTATTTATTTATTTAGAGGTTTTTGCTATAGGGCGTGGGCACTCG